TTGTGAACATAGAATATCAAAGGAGAGTGTTATCATTAATGGAATTCCCGTGTAGACATTTTAGAGTGTAAGACGTGTGTGTATCTCTCGACCAAGATATCACCGTGTATATTGGCATAGTAGCCATCGACTTACGATTGTCAGTTACGAATTACGTAATAATTACAAAAGATGTAGCATAGTTATACGCAACACATCGCCTTATCATCCTCCATGTACCTTAACATTTCATTGAGCACTCTTGAGCAAACAGAAAATGATTAAAGCAAAGTTAAAAATGTTCATTTCACAAGCTAAATTTGAGTTATCTCCACTGCACTGTTTAATTGGATTGTTATGACAGAATATATGCAATGTTTGTAAATAAGTTTGGAAAGGACTTAAATAGGCCTAGCCTGATGTCCAATCCAATTGACATATATAAAGTCAATACAATCTGATGAAATGAAATGAAATGAGCACGCTTGAGCAAGTCAGAAGTGATGACAGGGACAAATATTTTGGACAGATGGACGAACAAAGCGACGACTGTACGCTCTCTGAATTTTCCACGCTAAAATCAGACAGATTTATTGATACACGTTGACGTGTCTAGTCTAATAATAGAATAGACAACGCCAATCCGCTATATGCTTTAGCCAAGAGAGGAAAACAAAAGTAAAGACAACACATTCCACTTTGTCTTTGTCCAGAGACATGCGAGTAGGTAAAGCTGAAAAACTCCTATCTGTTGTTTTCATGGGATNGTTTTCATGGGATACAGTAGAAAAAACAGAAAAAGTAGCCTGTTTTGTCTGTGTGGCACATGGATATGTGAAAACAAAGACAAAACCCAAGACAAGGTATTTATCCTACGGTGGCTGGAAAGTCTAAAAGAAGAGAAAGTTTGCACTGTGAAAATCTAACATACACAGGTAAATTGATTGGAATGATGCCAAATTATTATTCTGGCTCTTTTCAAAAGAGACAAACCAAGACTTTAGTACGTTAAAAACTGAGAGTGTTTACGAAGACGGCAAAAGAATCGAGTTGCAATTTTTCCGTAGAAAATGTTTTTTAAGGATATTGAATTGTATATAAATGCTCTATACAATAGGAATTTTTGAACCTTTGGAAGAGTGAATGAAAGCTTAGCTAGTACTCCTCTCCCTGATAAACAGTACATAGACACCATCACCATAGTAAAGAATAGTCTCGTTTCAGACTGCTTTGCTTTGCTTCGAAACCTATGCAACTAATGTATCTTATTTTTCTGAAGCCGATAAACATATTTTTTCAAAACATGGAACACAACGCAACGATAATAAAAATTCGATGCATAGACATTTCACCACATTTGTTTCGCATGAATGTCATATATGTTGTTTGGTTGTCCTTTTATTGTCTGAACGAAATTCTCAATATCACTTTCCAAGACCACTGTTAATTTATTATTTTCTTTCTTATCGGTAAAAATGGTCCTTTTTGATGAGTTTGGCCTATCATTTTCAGTGTTATAATGTTCAAATTTAAACCTATTGTCTTGGTTATTAAATTCAAAAACAACACAAACAAATTCAACTCATATACCGGTCCAGCATATCAATAATAACACCGAATGCTAACGTAAAGGTTTAACGCAATATTAGTTAAATTGCGTGAACAATTGGTAATTAATCTGCTGTTTAAAATATTATACTATAATAATAATAATAATATACAACATTTATATAGCGCCCTATACAATTTGTAAAATTACTCTAAGGCGCTTTTCAACATTTGGATAATAGTAATGGTTATAATTGTGAAAACAAACAACAAAGGCTTGCAATCACTTTCATACATTTAACAGGCTATGTGCACATAATTGAACAAATGAAAGGGTGGTATTTACATGATGTCTTTGCAAAGATTCTAAAATGCAGCCGTGAAGAGGTGAGTTTGTATGTCCCACTTGAACTTGGCCAGGGTATTTGACTTCCTAATAGCAGATGGTAAGCTATTCCACAACGTTGCCGAAACCCTCCCACAGCATCTGTTACCGTAGGTCACAGTACGAGATTTTGGGCCACCCAACAAAGATTCTGACTTCGACCGCAGTGATCTTGACGGCAGGGTAACAAGCTCCTGTGTGTACTGAGGAGCTATTCCATTCAGTGCCTTCTATGTGTATACCAGAATTTTGTACTGCGACCTGTATCGTTCAAGTAACCAGTGCAACGAATAAAGCGCAGGTGTGATGTGCTCCCTCTTTCAAGTACGAGTAACTAGCCGTGCTGCAGTGTTCTGGACCCTCTGCAAACGACTAGTTAGTTTGTCAGATATATCACAGAGCAGGGTGTTACCATAATCCAACCGAGAGGTAACAAGTCAATGCACCAAAATCTTGCATGCATCTGCAGTTAGAAACTGCCGAATACAGCCGATGTTCCTGTAAAAGTACTTATTTTAGCGGACTCAAATCTTAGCGTGTTATGGCATTTGAATAGATTAAAGCTAGTATAGACAAATTAACGCACTCACAATGTGTCCAATACAAAGCTATAAACAAAATTTTCAATTAACGTAATCATCATTCAGAGGAATTGTCAAAGCGCGAAAGGAGCTAAAATTAACACACCGCTAAAATATATACGTTGACAGTATCCAAATGTACATATTCGCATACATAGAAATGTACAGCGATGCAAATGTTATCATACTGGTACATTCTATGTATAATATAGTAATAATTTACCTGATTTCCTTAAGGCCGAGTGAAATGCTGCGCTGGGTTCGTCGACATGGTATTCCAGTGAGATAGCACTATAAAGTCGGCATCAGATCCGCGTTATAACAAAGAGGCAAGTACGCAAACATACCTTGCATCTAGCACACAAACACACATGCACGAATACACAACACACATTGAGGAAAATAATTAAATGACCTTAGCTGCGAATAGGACTTTTAACTCTAAACAACCAACTTAAGGATCCCCGATCCCCGTCCAATGCAGTACGTTAAAGACAACGAAAAGGTGAAAAAGAATTAAATGTCTTGCGGACTCACTTATTCTACAAAAAGAAATATAAAAACAAAAAATAAACCAAAAAATAGAGACAACTCTTACATTTGTACCAATAATAATTATAAATCCCAAAAAAGTCATACATACGATTTACAACATACAATATAGCACTTTTTGCATACAAATATAATACAGTAGGCATTACCGACCAATAACATTACTTCAAATGTAATAACCAATATAAAACAAATTGCACATTGTGTATGGATAACATTATAACAGTGTACTTTACAGTGTCATAGCAAAAATGTCACAATACACAACAATAACAAAGCTCCACATACTTAACACTACAATAATACATTTCTACATACGGTACAGATAACATACTATGTTGTAATATAAAAAAAATCACACTATATAGCAATAATAAACTTTTACATCATGTACAAATAACAACATACGATATCGTGGTATAAAATATCACATTGAAAAAATAACACAGTGGTATGTAATATAAAAAAGGAACATAAAATATAGGCTTATTGGGTATATAATAACAAATATAAAACATAATCCTGAATATTGTGATGTCGTTTGATACACTTACTTGTATGTATAAAATACTTCTCAGGCCAAAATGTCTTTTCTGTTGGGTATTGCACAACCGTAGCCTAGTACCGCATTCCTTACAACCTTTCTGGTCCAGGAATTCAGATAACACCGCGAGGTCAATCACTCGTCTACCCTGCGACCAGGTTAAAAAGTTATTTGCGCATTCGTGATTACTAGTACTGGATGGATCCTCATCGGACGTCGGTGTCGGCTCATCAGTAAAATTGTAAGTAGTAGGGGCCTCAGTACTCAGCGACCATTCAATGTATGAACGAGTGTCACTTTGTTTCGTCTCATAGTCTCGGTCTAGCAGTTGATATTGGGCATCGTTGTTGTTATAATTGTCAGTTGATGCGATTAGTTTACATTTGAAACAACCGTTTTTACATCGGGCTTGCGTGTATGCCATGAAATGACTTCCACTACGACGTTGTTTACATCGTTACGACAACTTTTCCCCCACATTTTCGCAATTGGAGATTTTCAACGCAAGGGACACAACTCTGTAGTCGAAACGTTATTAAAACGAAATATATTCAAGGGAAGATAACAACATTGTCGAAATAGTAATTAGGGGCAGGTGACGCTAACACTGAAAAGCGACAGTGGAATTCTTTAATGTTTTGCTCTGCCTGGAACGGGGATCCTTAAGGCCGATAATCAGTCAACTGTCCATGACCTGATTATTTCTGCCATAATGGGTTTTGCACTCTATGTCGACTAAATCTATCGCTGATATTCTCACTGGTTAAATATTTTTTATCAGTATTTGTTTGCCTACATATCTTCACAGATAAACGTAACTCAAAAGCATGTGATAACGGGGTAATAGTGATTAAGTATAACTTACATGGGTGGTGTTGATATTTAAACATCAGAATAGATGGTGACACAACGACTCTATATTTTTCCCCACTCCCCACCATTTTATATTTTGTGCTCAGATATGAAGGGACTTTTATTATGCAATTACATTATGATATTTATTTGCCATATTTTTGGAAAATATAAATTTAATAACCTACTTAGATTAAAATATTCTCTATATATTCAATTAGCCCATACCATACACTACGTAAAAGCGACCTTCTCTATATCTCATTGTTATTGAAACTTGTAAAATGATAATTTCATTGTAACCTACTGATTGGTCTATGTAGCTGCAAATTATACACTTACTCTCCGTTTTTCATGTTAAAAGATGGCAATCAATATATATTCTGTTTTGTTTTTAATAGTGTGAGATAAATAATCATAATATTCGTCACCGGTACCAATTTGTAAAGTGATACATATTCTGTGTTGCTTTATATATATTACGTGATAAATTCAATTTGTAATATCTGTCATCTGGTAAAATGTCATTCTGAGATGACTTATGACCGACGCTGTTCTGATCAATGATGGGATGCAGTGTTATTTGTTTAAGTCATATGTACAAAACAGGTCGGTTATCGATGCGATAAACCCATCCCCTATATACTGCGCATGTGTAGACCAGGATCACATCTTCGTTGCTGCCAGCGATACAATGGCGTAAGTATTTCGTAATAGTACAGAAATTCAGCTAGCGTATTGTTTAACAACATGATATATCTGCTGTTTTGCATAACCATCCATCTACTTATTGTTCATGTGCATTTTTGTTTGTTTGTTTGGGGTTACAGCTATTAACGCTCTCGCAACAGCTAAAGTCATACAAAGGCCAGTGCATTGGGAGACACACCGAAACGACAGAATAAGGAAGTAAAAAAAGAAACAAACTGGAATACAAAGGTTACAATGAGGCAGCAGATTTTTTCTTCATTGACCAAGTAGCAGAAGAAAATATCCCGATTCTGCACAGGCTGCACATATATGTGAAAATATTTGTTGCCATGTTTGGGCCAGAATTCGTTGATAAAGCATCTTTTTTTTAATTATATCTTTTTCGGGATAGATGTAAATTGGCAAAGGACTTAAAGCGGGATGGTCTTATTCGTACAGTATATCAGCGTCTGATTTTAATTATATAGCTGAAGCAAAAACTTGAATATATTGATCATTTACCTGTTACTCGTAGTGTAAGCCCCCGACCTGCATACCTGGCGTTATCAGGTATTACCCTTTAAACTCAACGAATGAAAGACTGGCAAACAAGTAAACACAAACGTTAGGTGCATACCTGTAGCCCGATTGATGGTGTTAAGGGAATCGAAACGAAAAGGAAAGTACATGTTTTATGTACGAGGCCTGTTCAACTTCTTCAATCCACACTTGATCAACAAAATTGGAAAATGTGTACACACTCTCACATAGGAAATAATGGTTTTAATATGATTTAGTAACATGTCAACACTAGACTATATCTGTTTTCAACTAGGAATTTGCTTTCAATTACGTAAATTACTTTTATCACAATGGTCTTGAATAGATCAATGCTATCTAGCAAGTGTTCAGATGTTTTATATTGAAAGTGTGAGCAGTCTAGACAAATGGCAAGTTTGTACTAGTATTTATATTTATCAAAATTTTCATAGGAACTTCATAACATTTCGGTATTGTACATAGTTCGTGTGTACATGTAGGCATTTGCATAAGCAAATTCCAATTTGCGTTTAAAAATAATATGAATAATTCATTATGTAATTATTGCATCCAATATTCGTGTTTTCAAGCATGTTGTATAAAGGTTTTTGAGTATCTATACGAGTGGCCATATCTCAAGTCACATCCGTATATTGGGGTCGATAAATATAACAGTCTTATTTTACCGAAACATTGCTATATGTGATTCAAGGATATGGATGGTATTCTCATTCTACACATTTCTTAGTTAAATGTTACATGAAATGATTTTTCTGGCTTTCCGCATCAAGGTATTGCATGTTTTAAAAGGTCTTACTAGTGAGTATTTAATTCACAACGGGCTTGCTTCTGCTTGGTAAACTGTAAGTCCACGAAGTTTCCATAACATTGTAGACGTAAATCATTTTGGAACAGAATACATAAAATACTCCTACACTAATAAGTTACCTGCAGCAGCCAAAAAGCAATGTCAATTTGCGAATGGTTTGTAAGGATATTATTGGCACTTTCCCTTCCTTTTGTTGTTTTATACGTGCAATGTACAAACATGTTACGAAACAAATATAGCAGAGTACTAGCTGAAGTGTTAGCAAAACCTTAATTAAATCCCTAAATCGTTAAAAGTAGGACAAAATATGATCAAAGAAGCGTTTTACATTGAGACCATTGATTAAGTACAAGAAGAATATGACCACATGTTCCAGAAGGGTAACCGCCTCTGCTCATCGATGACACCCGTCATGTAAATGAATGTCATCAAAGCGGGTAGTGAAAACAAACTTCAAGGCTTACTAATGAGCATAATAAAAAAAAACTTCGAATTATGGAATTCGCATTTTTAGAGCTTTAGGAACACTGATAAGTCCTTAATGGAAAAAGGGACATATAATGCACTGAAATAATTACCTTTTGTTCTTCTTGAAGGTAGAAACAAATACTGCTGGACTACAAACGATTCATGTAATAAGTTGTATTATATTTTAAATCATGCAACTTTTAGTCCATTTTCATTCTGCTTGATTTCTAAGCCAACGTGTGGATGTTGGTGAGTCGGATAGCGTCACTGACCAGTGTAAAGATGAAATCGAACCAGTTGCAAAGCCGGATATTGAGGTATAATGGACTAGCCATATTTAGTAAGTAGACAATCGCTAAAAACAGACGGAGACAGAGACATAGAACGAGACAGACATAGACCCAGAAACAGATACAGAGACGGACACAGGGACACAGTATCCATGAAATTGATATGTGATGCACTCAATGACACAACTATACGCTGATGCTTTCCTTCTTTATAAGATTTACACTTACTTTTATAATAAGGATTCATGTCTTCATTATGGTCAATTACACATCAAAATATCGAACAATCGGAATAAGGAAATTGGACGGATAACAACACAATTTGATCCTCATTTTTCATTTAAACAAATCATATTTTAAAAAATGAAGAGGAAATAGTCAAAAGAATAACATTCAAATAATTAAATATTAATAAAGAGTCTTTCCATGGATAGACAAAACAATTGATATGTATCAAACATTTCAAAATCATGTGATACTATACTCTTTGAATAAATACATTACTATTATCTGTACATTTTTTGCTCAGATTGTTCCAGGCTTTCTGCCTAACGACGTAACACTGGTGGTCGAGGATCAACACCTTCATGTAAATGAAGATTTACTCTCATCGGCTTCACCTGTATTTGAGGCTTGGTTTAAGAAAGAGTGGCAAAAAGACGAGTGCACTGACGACACAAAAAGGAAGCTGGAGTTCCCTGGGAAAACATATGCTGAGATGGCCACTTTTCTCAAATGTCTTTTGCCCATTTTCGATGACAAAGTTACAAGTAATTATGGAAAACGATGATTCAAATATGACCTAAAACATACCAATTTAGTAATAACATGACTATTACAAAATTAAAACAGGTATTACTATATGAACAATATTTTTATTTTAACGCATTTTTTGAGCGTCATAAAACGTATTGAATAAAACTGTGACTCATATTATGGTTATAACAAACATAACTCAAAGGTGTTCGAATTTGTATGTTTAGCAGTAAATGTAACCAAAATAACGGTTAATATAATTTAGCTAATGGTACATATTGTAGCGTTTAAAGTAGGTTTTTTCGATAATCAGACTCTCTGCAAGATAACTATGATTTTTGAGCAAACCAGGAATAGTTCTAAGTTTTTAATAACGTGTATTGAACAATACTTTAAATCATGGTTACACATTATTGATTTTGGTGAAAATGTGAAACATTTACTATTTTCAGCTTGTAACATAATGTATAGGACCGTAATTGTGCTAGTTTTCATTAAACTCCTTAACGAACTAATACCAATTCACAATAGTGTCCTTTTTTGGTTTGGGGGACAAAATGGACATCATCACTACACTTCCATTTGGAGGTTATATGTATATCATTATCTTTATCTCAATATTATCTCACAAATATATTTTGCCTTAGGAAACACTTTCCATTATGAGGAAGAAACATTGCTTTCGTCCCTCTATTCTGCATGCTAAACGCATTTCGAAATTGAAGATATGGCTAAACATGTTTTTTAAAGACATACTACTAGTCAATCTTAGAGCAGTATTGATGTTTGACATATTAATTAAAATATAGTATCAAAAGTATAGAAAAGTATCAACCTTTAAAGTTAGCCAGCATAGTGTAATCTTTAGTATTCAAATGCTTTCCTAATCAAGATGAAATGTTCAAAGAAAAGTAAGGGAAAGACGTTGAAATTCTCTTAAGTTATAGTAAGTTTCACATAGGGGAAATTAGCCATGAACTTCCGAAGTTGGCCAAGACAACAAAATGGCTCTTTTAACTATATAATTACGTCACGCAGCTGTCACAGATAGGGCAGAGATGTCGTCAAAGAGAGGTTTGGAAATCTTTCGTTTATGGCATTAAATTTAAAAGAGTGGCAATATTACATTGATTGCATACGACAGTTTTGGTTATCATACCCACTCCTTCCTTTGACATGGCATATCCTCTGCAAATCGAAAAGCAGGGTCACTCAGTGCTTAGATGTTATCGTTAAAATAATGTTCAAATTATGTAATGCAGTAAGCGTGCGTTTAAAAAAATCTGAACAGTGTACTCTTGTTTGAGAAATATCTAGCTGTTACCTTCTTTCGGATATTGGATTTTATTGGAAAATGCTTCAAACAAAATTTTAATTGGATTGACTTCCAAAGTCAAAAACTAATCATTGTCCCTTAATCTTGTGTATTCTTAGATGCAACACTGGAAACTGTACTCCCATTAGCAGATGAATATCGGACAGGAAACTTGCTCAAAGAATGTGAGGAAGTCATCCGAAAGCACGTGGGGTCTGTTTCCGAGTTGGATATTTATATACCACCTTCACAGGTCGTCACATACCTACGCTGGATCGAACATTATAACCTTCACACGGTTGAAGAATGTGTTGTGAGATTAGGTTCGTTCCTAAAAACCGAAGAGCTAGACACAGTTCCAGACTATAAAAAGGTCAACCAAAGACTGCAACTGGATGTATCTAATGCCAGGGCCAAGCTACTTGGGAGTCTATTTGTGATCGATCTACTAGAAGCTGAAAGTAAGCCTTTATATCAAATTTGGTTTTGGTGGTTAGTATGTCACTAATCAAAACGCAAAAAGGATAGTAAGTTCCAAGTAATACATTGTGATGATTCTATCTACAATATAACATTAATTCTGACCTCACATTCAAATTCTACGACAAACGTGATTAGGTGAATTTTAAATTCATTTTATTTCAATCAGTAGTAATATTCCAGAACATCCCAATTCTACGGAGCCCCTTTACTGACATGCTACACACTTTATTTCGTTTATAACGATTTTTTATTTTGTTTTATCAAGTTGTTCTTTCGTTTTATCGGAATGTTATGTCGTTACAACGGAATATTAATATTCTTATTACGAAATAATGATTCGATAAAACGAACTAAAATAAGCGTGCAGTATGTCATTTTAGGGGCTCCGTACAATTCACTTTTTAAAGAGTTTAGTAATAGATAAAAGAAAACAAATCAGCAACAGTGTTCTGAGTGTAAAAATACACTGAGATTCGTACTCTTGATTTCAGATAATTAGATAGACCGTCTAACCTACTGAACATGGTCAACATATGTATCCTGACCCAGCTATATCTGATATAAAATGTAGTTGAGCATGTACAAAAATCTTCTTTAGGATTCTCTGTTGTTTTACCTGCATTGGGACAATGAATTTTAAGGATCTGTTTGAAGTAGGAGTGCACTGGATAGCTATTGTCTGCTACATGTAGTCAATACACTATTTAGTTCGGTTTGTGGAAGTTCATGAAATTCCAATGTCTACCATGATAAAATAAATTATTAAATGATAAGTCGTAATACTCTGTAACTGTTAAGTTTCCGGGCCGCTAATTGAACCTTCGCTCTTTGTTCTTATCAGCTGGATAGCAGCTGGTTAAAATTGGCAGTCCTTATTTGTCTTACACATCAATAGTTATATTACTTTTCCCGTTAATACCACACTCAGGCTGTGAAACGTGTCAAAGGAATAAAACAAAAAGGAATTTTATTTTATTTTCTTACTTGCCATAAATTATAAGTTGATTTACATAATGTCTCGCATGCTTGAATGGGCCCTTTTATGATGTCAAATCACGCCTCTTCTGCTATTTACCATCTTTTTTGTTTATTAATACTGCTTCAATTATGAATTACAAGGTCGTTTAGTATACCAAGTGACGTAAAAGATATGTATCAATTATGACAAAAACATGTTTATTGTGTAAACATTATACCTCTACCACTGTCGAACACAAAGTATTGTGTAAGCATTACCTCTGACCCAGTCGAAAACATATTATTGTGTAAATATTACCTCTGACCTAGTCGAACACATAGTATTGTGTAATAATTACCTCTGACCCAGTTGACCACATAGTCGCCATTAGTTTGATTCTGCTCTCATGATATATCATGAATACGCTTATGCATGATGATATCGTAAACCTGGCTTCAACCTTGGGCCTGGTGAGATAAGTAGCAGTCGGAAAAAGGCTTCGCAAGCTTATAATAGACATACAGTCAAATCTCGTTATACTGCCACCGTTTTTCTTGTAGTACATTTGGCGTTATAACGGGGTTTTGCGATAAATTTATGGAAATGTAAAAGGGATCATAAGAAAACGAGAAAACGGGACATTGAAATATGTTGACGGTAACCGAGGAGAAAAATAAAACGTGGGGGCATTATATCGCGGGTTCACTATATTTATAAGGCATTTGAATTTACAGATTTTCATACCAATATAAAGTTGTGGGATCGCGCACAACGTTACACGATGTGCGGTGTGCGCACGATGTGTGAACGGTGTGCGGACGATAAAAAATTGAACGATCATTGCTTGCGCACATTTGTGCGGACGATCGACGAACGTTGTGCGATAGCAATCGTGGTTGGTGTAAATTGAGGAATGGCTTAACAATATATACGGTTTCGTGTTTAAACATATACACTTGATTTTTTTAGAATGTTTCTATATTCAAGCTGCATCTATAAGCTTATTTTCTGTCTATACTTTCTTAAATTTAGAAATGGCGTTTTTGAGTTGTCGACCTTAATCGACACATGTAAAATTACAACACAGTCTCGGCAACACAGGTAAACATAGCCACTTTGTACCTGGACCGTAGTTTTCCCCCGGCCCGGGGCACTTACATACCTCGCCAAGGTGTGAAAACCTGGGGAGCTATAGACCAAAACGAGTGCAAATAACAAATATTAAACTCCTGTTGTGTTTTCATAACGGTCATACGGTATCAGGTGTCAGGCAAACGCCAGATAAAACTCCGGTCACTCATTAAATGGTTATCTACCTGTTCTGTTACCGAGGAGCCAAAACCATTCTTGACAGTCGAACGGTCACTGTATACTGTGTTACACGCAACGTAAAACTGTACATAATCTGAACTATTGTGATGAGACATTACAGTAATATATACAGTGTACATTATTGCATATGAGCCTTCCGTATTTTTATCATTCCGTAAAATTGATCAACAAATTGTACCAAATCGCACAGTTGTGCGGAGAGAAGCGCACAACAGGGCGAACTATTGTTAAATCGCACAGATGTGCGCACCATGTGTGGACGATGTGCGGACGGTGTGTGAACGATGTATGCACGGTGTGCGCACGGTATTTTTGGTGCGTTGTGCGGTCACACAACTGTAATTTATGAAATTCTATTTCTTTATTTCCCAACAGATGCCGTCCTGTAATTTAAACGACATGTACAGCAAACGAATGAATGTACTTTTCTACCGTTTGGAGAGTCCTAATATTGATGTTCATTGTTAAATAACGGTGTGGTGTTGTTTTGATTATCCTTTTTATTTTATGTTTATTATATTTTCATTCAATTGTCTATTCAGTTATTTTGTTGTTGTTATTGTTGTTCTAGGAAAGATGAAGGAATTACAAATCCCTCTCTCTTCTCTCTATATGGCTGAATGGAAACAGATTATAGCAGACCATGTGGAGGTTTTTCTGTCTTTATCAACAACATCACCAGAACCGTCTTTTCAACGTTTCTGGGCGAGTAGCCCTTCTTCGGGTTTCAAAGTTTCAATTGGTAAGTCCAGGACGACGCGAATCATCCCATCGGATGCTGCTACATTTGCATGCATATCTTTATGTGATAAATTTAAATTATCGCCTACTTATACAAAAAGCATCTCGAAATTAAAGTCACTGGATCTTAACCCGGGACGTTTCGAAGAACTTTGGTCAAGCTTCTATCAAATAACCACCGAAAATGAACGTGCTGACATGGAACGACATTTGCTTGCAATGTGCAAATCTACTTGAAATCGTGAATTTAAACAACTTTTGTTTCACAGATTGTAAACATAGAAAATAATCACAACAGGTACTGAAATCATAAAATATTGACGTCTTATGATGAAGTGACTATATCATACTGCGTTTGTCTGTTTGTTTGATTGTACCCATACACGAAGTTTTAAAAAAAATGTTTATATCCGCGACGTCAGATACCGACTGTATTTTGGTAGTGTATACTCTTCAAAGAACAGAAATGTCAATTTAATGACGTGATATATTATATCAAAATGACGTCACGTTTCAGAACATCAGCCGATTTGGTACTGAACACCTTGAACGCAAACGTTGATTTCACGCACGCACTAGTCAATATTTAAACTATACTTGTTACAGAACTAGGATCACTGGTTTCCCATACGTGGTTAGCGCTAACCGATAAGTCACTAAATACTTTTGTTTTTATGCACTCCCAAGTTAAGACTAAGAACGAATTGTAGTTCCTAACCGGGGTTATTAAGTGCAACTTTGTCGGATAAAGTTATCCTACATCAGTGTTCTACATGAGACACCTGTATTTTGTATACAAAAAGGAAAGAGAAGAGCTTTATCAATTATGGTATTTTTTTTAAAGAAATAATTCATACTTTTATATCAGTATGGCCGTGTTGCTTAATTGTAGTTTATCATTGCACTTGTACAATTAAATAATAATCAAATATGGACTTTTCGTTTCCTTGTTGATAGCTCTGCTGCGTGCAAACTTGTAACAACAACCAAATTTGTAACAACATTGAGTGTTGTGTATACTGGGTTGAAGTGCTTAATTAGTAAATGAAATGATATCTTAAACAATTCCCACTCATTTGATATGATTTATGGTCCTTTGTTGATGTATCAGGTTTGCTAGGGCTTAATCGTGCTGTAATACAGAGAAGATATATTAAGACATACCCGTGAAGTATATATGGTATTAAAAAGGAAAACATTTCTTTTTTCATTATTTATTGCACAAAAATAGTGCTGCATCAAAAAGTGCAGGAATGAGAAGCATACTATTTGACGCCAGGTTCTAATGACGTCACGCTTGAACGTAAGGTAAAACGTAATTTTATTATCTGGTTGGTTTAGAAACAAAAATAGCATCGATTGTCTAGTTATGTAAATACCAAAACAACTACCAATACTACTGTCGCTTCACCTGAACTAGAAACTGAAAATCTACGCAATTGATAAAAAGAACCATTCTGATTGGACAATATTAAAAGTGATATCATAACATGTGAAGATGTAACATTTCAGTGACGTGCAATGAAGATGTCAGTTTTTATCAAATGGATAATTCATGATATTCAACTGGTAAAATGTAATAAATCTAGATACATATGTGGGGTGACTGCTTCCTTCCATGCTCCAAGTAAAGGGTGTTTCAAAACATACAAGCGCTAAAATTGTTTACTGTTTTTTATGAATTACTCTAGGCCGCTTTCTTTTATCATGATCCAAACGATTGGAACGATTGAACCAGCGTTGTTCATTTATGAAATAAGTAAAACCTTGTAATTTGTTGCAACTTCCAGGCGAGCCTTGACAAAGCCTTGCAAGGCCAACATAAACATTGTCAGATCCGCCAGAATATGTACCCGAATATTACATTTAAAAACAGACAAACTGGTTGTTCCTCACTAACGAAGAATCTCCTCTTTGTCGTAATTCATCAGTATACTATCGTTTTAAACATACAACAGCATGGTATGCTAGAATTCATTCATGCCACATATGTAGTTTAGTAGTCATAGCAGTTTGTTTGTGTAAATACTGTTACTTGTATTTTGTTTCATAATATACTCTGTCTTGGTATAGTATGTGACATTTTTGACATTGTACATATGCAATTACTTGTAATAACGTTCAATAAAAAGGATTTGGTCATAAATATTGATTTCATGTATTCCATATTTCACAAATAAAAATGATGAAAATGTTTAGCACTTTTTTCTTTTTTTTGGGGGGTGGGGGCTTATTTAATGAAGAATGTATTTTTCATTGAATATTATGTCAGTGAAAACATTTTCCGAAATTTCTCAGGGATGACACGTGATCCTTGAAACTTTTAGTGAGTATAGTCCTGCATTTAAATGAAAATTGGCTTCGATTTATATTTGTTACGTCATTATATTTGTGATGTAAATGTATATGTTACAACTTACCTGTTGCAATGCTATTTGTCGGCTTAGTCTTAAAGTATGTAGTGGAAAGAATGGGAGTTTTTTTTCGTACACTAGTTGAAATAAACACCTCGACAATAACACGTAATTCCTGATTACACCAACTTCAGGACAATGGTACTTTCTGACTATACCTTTAACTAGCTACACCTATTTCACGTAACATATATATAAATAAGTATGATTACATCTATTTCCCGTAACTTATATCAATGGCTTTGTCCATGATCAAAGACAGTGTATTTAATTATAATACAATAATGTTGTTAGTCTACTGATATGTAGATTACATCCATGTTATAAGACATGAGTTGGTTTGATGTAAATACGCATTTATAAGAGAGATTTCTAATAACTATCTTCAAGCTACGACTGTGGCTCGAACATGCCGTTCAAATGCCCAAGGTGTTTGCAATTCTGACTGTAAATTGAGATATATATCATATAAAAAATAAGGTTATTACTATAAACAAAGTACAGGTATGCAACACCGCCAATGACAACAATCACAAAAGTAGCTGAAATAGGACACAATACGGATTACGCTCTACTTATTGTTATATATCGATGCGGCTAACATAACTAGATCATCGCTAAGCATGAATCATGGATCACAGCTTTTAACCAGTTCTATTTCATTTGAAAACAGCCTGAAATGGCTTGTCATGAGTACCATGACGGAAAAGTGTCGGCCATCTTTTTGCAGGTCCGGGAAGAATATTTTGGTAAACACTTTTATATATTGAATAATGTATATCGATTATATTTGTCTGCCCCTGTCTTTCAATCGTTTTTCAAACAAACAAAACACTAAACCTTTCTAAAATGTTTGTTTATGACACAGAATATATATATAAGTTCAATGATTTCACGTGAAACGGTGGTTACTTTTTATTGTCTCTGTTAAAAGTAAAAAAAAAAAATAACAAGATGCAACCCAGGCGGTCGGTATAAAAGCTGACGGATGCAGCAGCAAACGACAAGTACACAAAAGTATATAAGATTAAAAAAATGCATGTAGGTATAAGCTCCTTCAATAGACAATGGATTGCTGCAATGTCTTTGCTCCGGCGGGGAGTTCTGTACATTAAAACTGGCTCCCATGCATCCCGCAGTGATCTAACGTCTTATCGAAGGAAACTAAATAACATTTTTTCTCACCGTTTTTCCAAATATAATTCTGCTTTCATGAACTGTTTAAGATACACTTAACAATAAGTCATCTTGTCATATTGGCGTGACTTATGTTAAGTTGACGCGGGTATGATGAGAATGCCAGTTGTGCTTCTTGACTTATTGTACGATAGGTAGGGAGCATTAGGAATAGTCAAATATAACGTCGATACAACGATATTTCATTATTTGTCACAAAGCACGGGATAGTTTCAATATTTGTATAAAAATTTAACAAATCTTAAAAAACAAATAAAACTAAAAACATTATATGCTAAGTAGGTATAGCGGCTATCTGAACACAAGATAGATAGATCAAATATGAAAATATCATATATTGGCAGTTGGGTCTCCCCGGGGGGACCGGGTGGTATACCCGCTGCTTTATTTACACCTATCCCAAAGTATCCTTATATATCCCATAATTAATCCATAACCCCCTCCCTCCTTCCCCATCCATTCACATCCTCTCCCCGGTACACACAACTATCACTCGACCCAGTGTATTTCCGACATTGGGCATTTCTCTCGTGATGTTATTGAATGTTATGTCTATTGCGCATGTACAACCCATCAAAATATTCCCGAAATAGGAATGTTGCCGAAGCTACCGTCCTTTATATGTTCAGACCGACGTACGAGGGAGACATGGTTTGGGCTTGTACAAGTCTATAACGGGTCCGTGCGACTATAAAAGAATTTTCTCGTAAGTTGTATCTTGTATTTGGAAGCTGAGCATTCGCATTCCCCCAAACTAAACCTATTATATCAAAGTCAGCTGTTTGGTTGCGGAAATAACATGAGGAATCGTTCTTCGATACCTCTGATCGAAATTAACCTAAGCTGTGATCGAATTTACCCGAATCGTTATTGAGACTCATTTACTCCGTTCAAAGCTTTGAGTTAAAAAGGGGAACACCAAACATGCTCAATTTAATGAGTTTTGAGACGTTTTCATTCGATCTTTATCGAATACGGGACCAAAATCTGTCGCGTAACCATCCAGAACGAGATGGAAACTATAGAGCGAGAGCGAAAACGAAAGATAGAGTGATCAAGTTACAACTTTCCCTTACTGCACATGTGTAGAGCAGGATCACATATTCCTTGTTGGCAGCGATACGATGGCGTAAGTATTTCATACAAAGAACAGAGGTTCAGCTAGCGTTATATTTGACATAATAATATTATGTGTTTGTATGCAGTATTTGCTAACCATCCATCTAGTTATAATCCATGTGTAATTTTGTTTTTTGTTGTTTGGGGTAACAGCTATTATAACGTTCTCGTAACAGCTAAAGTAATACAAAGGCTAGTACATTGGGAGACATTACCGAAACGAAAGAATAAGGAAGTGAAACAAAAAACAAATTTTGATCACAAATGTTACAATAGGGACAGCAGATTTTTATCTTTTTCATTGACTCCAAAGCAGAAGAAAACATTCGGTTTTGCATGGGATGCACATATATGTGTAGTCCGAATTATTCTCGATATAACGTCAGAATAATTCGGACTAATATATGTGCAGTCTGTGTTCCCCTGTGTGGGCCGGAGTTGATTAAGAAGATAACACGTATAGTCCCCGTATTGTATCTACTCCCTGTCAATTCTTACCCGTCTACAATCTTTCTCGGCATATACGTACATTGACAAAGGGTTTAAAGTGGGGATGACATACAAATGTATTCGTGTAGTAGGTCTGTATGTCGCTGTCTGATCTGTTACCGGTAGTTTAATGTTTCCTTTTAATAGCTCGTTTACCTGTTACTCGTAGCATTCGTGTCCCACCTGCAGACCTTGTGGTATCGGGGGTTTTCCGTTAATCTCACCGAATAAAGGATTGGCAAACAGCAATACACATAGCCCAATTAAAGGTATCCTGGAAATCAAATCAAAAGTGAAAGTACGTTTTTTTCAAATTACACTGTTCAACATAATTGGAAAATGTGTGCACACTGCCAAATATGAAATAAACTGTTTCTGATATGCTTGAGTAAAATAACACTAGACTTAGTCACTTCTGTTTAGAAATACATCTTTATTTACCTATTTTTATTTAATTTTTTATCTTACTTAGCACTAAATAATATTTGAATGTAACACATTCTCGTCTCAGGCATCATATTTTCTAACAGTTGGAGTCAATGATCAATTGACTCTGATTGAGATGGAAACTCGTTCAGGAGCAGTCATGATCTATTAATCATTATCATGTGTCGTTACATTGGAGACTGTGTTTAATATTCAATTATATATATACAAGTACATAAGTATTTGATGCATAAATGGATTCAGTCACAGACATAGCAGAATCTAAGCACCAGTTTGATTAAATCCTTCATTGAAAACGTTGGAATGCGATAATCTTCCGTTGAAAACCCCCAGATGCTTTTTGGTATCCAAACAGTGTTATGGCCTAAGATATGATTGAAATAAAGCATTGTTGTGCGAAAGATTTGACAAATTGAACTTAAAAGATGATATAGACAATGCAAAATCGTCCAGGGTACGAAGCATCGTTCGTCGATCTAATAGCAAAAATGCCTTAAAAACCTCCTACTGAGTACCTATCTAATCATTTTGGTGTATATACAAAGCGCATGTGATCTGTTAAGCTAAAAATATATATATTTAGATTTGGCAGACGGTTATTAAATATTTGTTGTGACACATAGAAAGATACATACATGTACATTCTGTGCTAAATTAGGTTTCTGTTTTGAATATAACTTTTGTGTATGATGTGTTGTGTAATCATATCGGTTACCATCATACTGGGAATGTGAGCGACAACTGAAAATTGAATGTATATGTGGGTTGACATTGTCGCAAGAAATTGTCAACAAAGAACTCAATTCAGGTTGCAATCATAGAAATACTGTCAGACTGAAAAAAAATGAAAAAACTAATAACTTTTATAATCCATACAGACTTCAGGAAGACGATGTTATAATTCCAAACCTCATTGCCCAAAGTGATCATGACGAGAAATCAGACGAGGAATCGAATTACGATAAAGATGGTGTACAACTTTCTCCAAAGCAGCATAGAAAGGTGGGAAATTAAACATGAACCCAAAGTAACAGGACGCTTAAACATATCATTTAATCAATCAATATCATATTGGGAAAACGGTGACATTTCACTGGTGTGAAAGATATATTTATATATACATTTGTATATCTGTAGACATACAAATTGAACATCAGCATGGTAAATAATGTTTGAAAGTCTAACTGCCATCTTCAGGTAATTAATTTTAATGTTTTTGCGACATCATAATGACGTAATACAATAAACACAATTATTCTATTGAGTTTTGATTGCTTTATGGACATTAATGGAAATACACAAAACAAAGTCTGAATAAGATCTTTCCAAACCACATTGATATCAAAACATTCTATAACACACCAGTCACGTCACATGTTAGTTTTTAGCTCACCTGGCACGGAGTGCAAGATCAGCTTATGGTATGGTGTGTTGTCCGTCGTCCGTCCGTCGTCTGTCGTCCGTCAACTTTTCCTTTAAACGACTTCTTCTTAAGAACTGGAGGACCTAGGGTAATGATATTTGGCCAGTAGTCACCTTGGAGAGAGTGCTATAAAGTTTTCTGAAATAAATGACATTGACTTATTTTCAAGGTCACGGGGGTTAGATGTTTAAAAACCTTTCAAACAACTTCTTCAGAATAACCAGGAAGCCCGAAGTACTGATACTTGAAGTTATCAAAAATATCCTCAAATAAATTACCCTGACCTACTCTCAAGGTCACAGGGTCCAAATATTAAAAACAAAAACAAAAACAATAAACAACTTATTCTGAATAACCAAGAGGCCTAGGGCAATGATATTTCATCAGTTGGGAACCTGGGACAAAGGGGTCAAAGGCGATCAAATTATTTAAACATCTTCTTCTAAATAACCGGGAGGACTACAGCAATGATATTTAGCCAGTAGGTAACCAACTTCTTCAGAATAGGCAGGAGGCCCAGAGTACTGATACTTGGCCAGAAGATAACTGCCATGAAGTAATAAAATTTCCTCAAATAAATTACCTTGAATTACTTACAAGGTTACAGGGTTAAAAAGTGTAAATACCTTTAAACAACTTCTTCAGAATAACCAGGAGGCCCATAGTACTGATACTTGACCAGTAGGCACCTGGCATGCTGTTATATAAAGTTTCCTCAAATAAATGACCTTGACCTTATTTCAAGGTAACGGGGGTCAAATATGTTAATATCTTCTTTTGCAATACCAGGAGGCTCTGGGGTATGCTATTTGATCATTAGCATGTTGGGATAGTAGTACTAAATTTCATTTACTTCTGGAACATTCTTCAGACAAGGAGGCACAAATCGCTGCCCTATAGTGTTAATCAATGGCTGTGGTTGAAGACGCGCACCTGCTGCAGACATACGTATAACCTCATTTTTTGTCAACAACACTGATATTGCCCTTCAATATAACAAATAATAGTAGGAAGGCAAATATTCAATGGATGGCTAGAGTACGTGTCTAGTAATATTTCTTGTAAACTCTTTCTTGCACAGATTGATCCTGGCTTCCTGCCAAACGATGTTGTACTGGTAATTGAGGATGAACATCTTCATGTAAACAAAGCCTTACTAGAATCTGCTTCACCTGTTTTTGCTGCTTGGCTAAAAAAAGACTGGCAACAATTTGAACTTATATTAATCACTCTTGTTGGCCCGGATGTTAGCGCGTGGGGGTCTTAGTGTGGGAGGAAACTGGTGGACCCGGAGAAAACCGTGGTCGGGCAGGTGACCCCAACCTTTTCACGTCCGATCGAGGAATCGAACCCCGGCCGCCTTGGTGAAAGACATGTGCGCAATCCACTGCACCACCCGACCACCCGGCCATGAAATATCTATCGATCTGATTGGTTGACAAATAGGAAGGTTTTTGTTAACATATTATATTGTTTCGGTTGACTAAGCGGATAACTCGTTACAAACATTCTACACTTCGTCAATATAAAAATGAAGGAAAGACTATTTTATATTTGTCTGTGCTTAAGGATCCCCGACCCACTGCAGTGTTATTTTTTCCTCTATACAGTAACCTCCCCTTACATTCCCTTTGGATATAACTTGCAGCACAGCTAGACTAGGCTACTTCCATTTACCAGGTAGCTTATTCGGTTAGAAAGATTGTATTAGAATCTGAAGTGCAGTGTTCGAATTCCAGTCTGGCCCTGCTGAATTTTTACACTCATGACACTGTTGTTGATTTATATTTTGTTCATTTCATATATATATCTTTTTCATAAACGTTCCGCAAAACATAATTTTCTTTTCAGAAGTGATTTATCACCATATAGTTGTGCTTAAAAATATGTTCCAATACTTTCATTTTTGCAGTGGTACGGAGATCCTTAAACGAACACCCATAACTTGGGAAAAGAAAATCATAAAACAGATTCTGTCGTTACTTTTGAGAATGTTATTTCTCCCCACATGTTACATACATGAAATATGTAAATACATTCTTTTGTATTCACAGATGAAACACTCGACACAGTGCTCCCATTAGCAGATGAGTATCGGACAGAAAAATTGATCACAGAATGTGTGGAAGTCATCCGACAACGCGTGGAGTCTGTCTCCGAGGCGGATATATACATACCGCCTTCTCGGGTCGTCACATACCTACGCTGGATCGACCAATATAATCTCCACACTGGTAAAGAATATGTTGTGAGGTTAGCTTCGTACCTGAAAACCGAAGACCTAGAAGACGAACCAGGCTACGAAAATATCGCGCTTCAACTAAAGCTGGAGATATCTAATGCTAGAGCAAAGCTTCTTGCGAGTCTGTTTGTGAGCAAAGTAACTGAAGCCAAAGGTAAGCCCCTGTAGCTTGTTTTGCTTACATAAGACTTTATTTAGTTATTATGGAACAACAAGTTTTATCAACTTATATTAATCTTGTTGGCCCTGTTGGTAGTGCACGGAATGTATAATTTTGAAGAATCCGAAATATCCCATACCAAATATCATGACTCTAGGTTTCTGGAATTATTAATTCAAAATAGGCTATGTTCATCTTTGACCACATTTGGTAGACCATGATCACTTATCAATGTTGTTTTAAAATCTATAAATCGTAACTTGTTTGTTTTTATTAACACTATCACATAATTTTGACTTTGACTTTTCGATGTCATTTATTGTTAGTGAATATAATGTCTTTTTCGAGTAATCTATAACCTTGTTAAATTTCACATTATAGTCATATATATATATTGTATATACAGTTTCTCAAAGATTGCTGTTGTACAATCCTGTGGAGAATGGCTTAGCGAATTGGTCTGTTTGTGATAATTTAAGTTCACACACACACACACACACACACATACACAGGCAAAGAAATAATAACGAAAGTAACCAAAGGCTTTCATGGTAAAGAATTCATCTTGAAAACGTGAGTTCAAGTGGATTATTAGAAAAAAAGTGAATAATGGTAGTGATCAAATCTATTTGTAGTTGTTCGTGCAAGAACTGCGCATTTTTTTATCTATTCCGTTAGCTTTGGTTATAATCTAACCGAATGGATAGTCGATACTTGGAGTTTTGTGTATGTATTTTATGTCGTTCGTCAACTTTTCCCTTTAAAACACTACTACATGTTGTTCTTAACAGCTCTGAGGATTTTGACCAAATTTGGTCTGGAGCATCATTGGCCAAAGAATTATCAATGTTGTTTTAAACGGAGGGTATGGCCTCCAGGGGGAAGAGGGGCGGGGCCAAATATGGGGAAAATGGGTAAATCTTCAAAAAAAGTTTTCTTCTCAACCAATAGAAGAATTATGACAAATTTGTTCTAGAGCATATTTGGACAAATGGGCCTCAAGTTTGTATTGACGGAGATTGTGCCCCCCTGGTGGCAGAGGGGCGAAGGCGTATAGGGAAAGTAGAGAAAAATATTTCCCCTTCTGTACAAATGAAGGGATTTAAACCAAATGTGGTCTGAATGATGCTGCTTAGGGTAAAAAGACGCGATTTATATAAACTGAGGTTTGTAGATCCCACTTTTGCAGAAGGATTCATTTGAATCCCAAAGGGGGAAATAAACAAAAAACTTAAAATCTTTCTCCATTTTTACTAATGAAGGGATTTTAACCAAACATGTCCAGAAAATCTTTGAGTAAAGGGATTAGATTTAGCCTAAAGTTTTAAACGTTAATCTATAGGCAAAGAGACTACATTTTGTATACATGGAGGGTGTGGCCCTCTTGGGGCACAGGGCTGGGCCCAATAGGGGAGATAGAGCTTAATATTTAAAATAATTTTCCTCCCAAGTGATTGGACGGATTTTTACCAAATGTGGTCTAGAGCATCCTTTAGCAAGTGGAGCGCAGGTTTATAGAAACGGTATGTGTGGCTGCCCAGGGGGCAGAGGGGTGTGGTCTTATAGGGAAAATAGAGGTAAATCAATAAAATCCCTTACCTTTCATATTAATATAGGGGTTTAATCCCTTTCCTATAACCAGATATGTAATTTCTAGGCATGAAGAAAAGAACATTGGGACATAACATGGAAACTCATGTTATTGGTGTCTTACCCACCCAAACAGATTTTCATATAATTATTCTTGCAACTTGTACTCTTTGATACTCCTGTATGGTACTCAGAAGGTTTTAAATTAAAACTAAAAAACTAAAAAAAAACAGTAATACCAGGTGAGCTATTGAGGCCCCTGGGCCTCTTGTTTATGTTTCTTTTCTCTTTGTTACAGAGAGGATATATGAATTTAAAATCCCACATTCGTCTTGTTATTTGGCTGAGTGGAAACAAAATGTAGCCAAACTTGTGGAAGATGCATTGGCGTCGCCAATATCCGAAAAATCAACATGGCCAAAAACGACCGCTTACAGAAATAGTAGGAAATCTTATTACAGTGGGAAGTCGCAAATCTCTCTAGATATTTTAGTTTCTTTGGCCTGCCTGGATATTTGCGATAGGTTTAAATTCTCGGAAAGCTATATAGAAACCTTAAAGAGAATAAAATCTCTACGTATAGGAAAGGCCGATTTCAAACTGATTTGGTCCACATATTATTCAACCGACGTTATGAATGCTTCCATGGAACGATATTCACTGGAAATGTGCGAATGCGAATTAAGTCCTTGAATGGGACGTTTTTGATATGGATAGAATTCGAATTCTTAGCATTTGAAATCACCGATCATAAAACGAAAATAAAATCAGCAATAGTGTTATGTGTGTAAATTTTCAGCGGGACTACACTGGGACTCGAACCACAGACTTCAGAGTATTAGAATATCGTTATTACCTAATGAGCTACCTGGTCAGCGGATTGTCCTTGCCAAAAAGTGCTACAGCTACGAAATTAAGGGAAGGCTAATGCATATACAAAACACAGTACAGTGACACAGGGATCTTCATGATAGCTTACACGAAAATACATAAAAAATGTGTATTTAGAATAATACAGCTCAAATTCCAGATAAGACTAAACATCTGTTTCTACAGTAGTTTAGACAATTTGTATTCCCAACGTTTTGGCTCTTACTATCACCGATGAGTCCTAGACGGACGAAACATCTTTATATACATGTAGGTATAACTGTATTGTTATGTGGTATTGAGAATATTGTATACCGGTGTTTTTGTCGCACTCCTTAATGTGGGCAAATTTATCAGGCTCAATAAAACAAAACATGGGGAGAAGACTTTTGCTTAAATGATTATAGTCTGTTTCTGGATAGAATTGTCAGTATCAACCTGTTTCTTTCTTGTGTTTACAACTGTGGTTGTCTGTTCTATGTAATAAGATATTCATCTTTTAATGAACCATCCAAAAATAGAAATATTCCCTAATAATTTTGTAGTGAGGTTGATGCTGATATGGTATTTGATAAAAAAGTTTATTTTGTTTAAATAAGATTTTGTTAACACATTATCTAAACATTAACATGAAATAGGTTTTTTTAGCAATATAACAAACCTTATCATTATTTTTATATTGATATGCCTAAAATTCAAGTAAGAATTTTAAACAAAAAATGTCTTTGTGTGACAAAGGGTGATGTTTATAGTAATTAATTATAAAACATAAATTACAAGTATTCCATGGAATTATATGTCTCGACACTCTCCTCTTTGACCAACAGCAAAAACATGTAGCTTGAAAATCATAGCAAGATATAGACAGTTATAGTTCATCGTGATGGAAACTTTGATGTTTACTTAATTTCAAACTTTCAAGATCAAACCGAATTCCAATAGGATTAACCTCAGAAAATGCTCTTTTGATTTTTTGAATATATCAAATCGATAGATTTATAATAATGAAAAGTTTAAATGATTTTGTTAAGTTAAGATATTTAGAAGAAAAAAAATAAGATTATATTCAGCATCTGAAGCAGTTGTTGAGTATTGAGATGTATCACAAATTAAGGATCTATCATCCAAGTTAAGTTGATGAGAACTACAGTATTTGGGAAAAAACCCATTGCTAAAACTAAAAAAAGAACAACTTAACAAAGATGAAAACAGACACTAAACCAAGAAATTAAGGTTATATTCAGCGCCTGAAGCAACGCATGTTCAATAGGTCCCGGACTCATACTTTTGGAGAAATAGAGCTAGACTATAAACCTTAACATTACTGAGGAAACTGACAAAGTCGCTAAACTCTACAAAGTAGGACATAGACTGCAGCTGATCCATGACGAAATAAGACGTAGTGCAAAAGCCGTAGTTTCGTATTTCTTGGACCTAAGTTTGCGCTATCGATATCAAAAGTGAGCATTGTCTATTTCGTTCTTAATTTGGGTACTAGAGTGCTTAAAATAGACAACAATCTGCAAATTAGTCAAAGAAAGATAGTCTATCCACTCACTTGCGTACTGTAGACAACATGATCAGGGCCGACACAGTTCCGCGCGCGCTGTACGACTGCAAGCTTGGTCAAAGTTGTGAAGGCAAATATCGCAAGCTAGAGACGACATCAGATGCTTTAATTGATGTAAAATCGATAGACTATGGGTCAAATTAATATTGGATGGTCCATTGACGTTGAGAAAACATCCTGATATGCGAGCTCCACGTGGGGTTCCACAAAAGTTACAACTTACAGTCTACGTTGAACCATCGTCAAATTAACGTGTTAAATTTATCATATCTTGTGCCCGCGGTCTTCATTTACCATTTTAGTACGGAAGCGTGCATACATACATCAGATCTGTTGTATATCGAAAGAAAAAAAATCGCTTTTGAAACAACAACATTTTATAAATGTATTTTACAGCGTATTTGACCTCAAGGAAATTAATGAAAAATAATCAATTTAACTATAACAATCGATACATGAAAACATTACCCCATATATTATAAAAAAAAAAACCCACTATTTTTTGTAGTATAAGGGGTATCTTTTATATACAGATTGTTATAGTTATTGATTAAACGTCAGACTTCTGTGAAATAATGCATCACTGATGCTATTTTTTATTGAATATTTTGTTGTTTCATTTAGATTAAAACGTATTTGCTCTCATGGGTTATGCCAATTAGTATATATTTTTCTTTCAAGTTAGACTTTACAAACATACAGTAAAGCACTTGAACTAGGTTAACCATTTTTTTTTAACTATCTTCAAATATAACGTTTAACAGTATTTCATCTCAAAATAACTTTAAAATACTAAATGCTTGGCCTTGAAAGGACCAACCAGTCAGGGTCGGCAGGGTAAGGAAAGTACAAGTATGTCTACTTTTGAAACAAATTAATTTGGCTACTAATTTGGTGATTTTTAAATTTATAGCAGAATACATGAATACATTTATTTGAGCAATTGTGACTTATTTTTTATTTTAATTGTTTATATTTTTGCTGTGTTTATATGTTACTGTTTTTAAAACAAATTATGTTAAAACATGATGAAACGTACCATATGTGATAAGGGTATAAATTCGATAACATTTACCATGATATAACCATGTCAGATAAAAACCATACCGTAGTCAAATCAAAGTATAATATATAAATAGTGTGTTGTAAAAATGAGAAATTGAAGTTGCATTGTACTATTGTCAATTCATGCTATGTGTATTACTTTGGTGATATAATATAGTCATCAAGTAAAATGTAAAACAAAAACTAATGTTGCTATTGTAACAGCAGCGAGACGGGCCAAGTTTTGTTTTATTTCATTCCACATGAATATATATAGAAGCCTGCCCATTCAGGATAAAATGTGTAGAAAAAAACAGACTCGTGTCGCCAATCCTCCAATGCCATGGACATTTTGATCTATGTTGTAAGTGAAAAAGGTAAGATGATACTATGGTCAAAGTTTGGTTGGTGTAGCACATATAATTTGGGATAGATTGTGACAAAAATGTGTGATACTTTACTGTTAGACTGAAGTACTGATTTAACTGCTTTGTATTGGAAATTTAAAATGTAATGTACGTGCGCATATATTGGTTATTCTTAATATAGTGCTTTATAGTATCAAGTATTTGTAATATGTGATAAGCCAATGTGATTTATATGCAATATATTGTGGGATTTGGCTTCTAAACATGCACTTATATACCATTGTATTGTAATGTAATCACAGACTGTATGCATTTTTTTAGTAATGATTGTATCATGTGTGAATGCATTGATTAATTCATATTTTTGAGTGATGCTATTGATCGATCTATTTTATTTAATGATGTCCATTAACAGGATAATAGATAGCCCAATTTTCAATAAGGATTGTTTTTTGTTGTTTTATTTGTTTCATACCAAAACATTAACTATGAATGTTATATATGTACCTCAAAAATACTTAAGTTTTGATATGCATATATCACACGCACAGAAAAGCTACGAATCACACAGGTAAGTTCATTTACCTGTGTGACCTGTGGGGTTAGTGTGAAACTGACCATAATTTGTGTGCCTTTGTCTTCATATATCAACACGTTTCCTTTTTTTCCAAAAAGTGGGAGAAACGAGAACATTGGATTTGATGACAGCGAACATTTGTAAACAACATAATAAATATAGTAGTAAAATGTGAAGGGCGAATTTAATATTGGTCGAAAAAGGATTTTACCTTCGAAGGGCGAAAATTTGACTGGGCAAATTTTCGCGGAATATAATAATCAGATATGGGTTTGTGTCATTAATATAATTATAGAAGTTGCTTGGGTTGAACAGGTGTGTACACAGCTATTGCTGCATCGAAGGTGTGGTGATGGTGTTACATCATTAGTAGAAGAACATTGTATTTACATGCTTTTGAGAGAGGAAAGTTGTAGCAGACATGATCAAAATATATCTATATGCATGATGGTAATTAGCTAAAATCACTCATTACGGTGTTCAGTGTGTATTGATTTACCGAGAGTCACATATACACAGGAGGGTTCTGTCTTAAGTTCTGATATTTAATTAAGGATTGAATTTTGCTTTGATCGATTTCATGAGGGGATGAATTGAGTCGGTCTTGAAACAAATTTAATGAACTGCTGAATTTGTTTCAAGACCAACTCAATTTAATTTTTTTGGTTGCTTGAAAAATGTTATGTGTAGCTTCAATAAAAAATGGAAAATCTCATGCAAGTGGTATCTTCTTTATTTAAAAATGTCAATAGTTATCTTCTTTCGCTAAATTTGAAAATAGATATTCATACACACAGGCAATGTTAATCTGGTCAATTTCATCGGCAAATAAAAACAAGTAACATTTGGTAGTTGCTTTGAGTGCAACTTGATTAGAAATTTACGCAGACTTTTAATTTTTTCTTGTTTAACAGTTTATTTTTTGAGTACACTATAAAGGAGACTGTTTTCTGCTGCATATTGAAAGCTGGTATGAGCTGGATTATCTTGTTGCAAATAAGAGCAAATAGTGAACTGTCCCATTTGGATTTCAAAGGGTTTGTGTTTAGAAATAGGAATGGTGGATAAACGTTGTAAGACGTTAGAAAAGTAATAGATAAATTATGTGCACAACTGTGTTATGAAATGTCAACATTATATGGCAAAATATCAATAGTATAAAAGTAAATGTACCGATTACATACCATCACACCATACAATAAAAAAACAGTGGTATGTAATGATTAAATTGACCACATTGTATTGTGGAAGGATTACACAATGTTATAGTAACACCATGATATGCATATTATGAAATAATTAAATTATATTTAAGCAATTAGTTTTATTTAGCGCCAGGTTATATGTTGATAATTCTAGCAAAGCAAGTGAAAATGACGGAAAAGTAAAAGATAAATTCAATCACCAATTTCAAGATATAAACCTGACAAAGACTTTCAAACCAACTACTGGATACGAAAAAAACAAGAGATCACAGAAAGATCCTAGCGCATACCATCGTACTATCTTATTATTTTATTATTTCTCTTCCTTTCTCTTATTTATGGATTGAAATATGTAGACAGTAAATATATTTTGCGGTACCTCTTGATCAAAAATTAATACTGCTGTGTATGGCAATATTTTTTTGAAGTCAGGTGTCACTTGACATATTAACTAACATAATAGTTGATGTGTCGCGATAGGTTTGTCAATTTGTATTCGGTAAATAGGGATAACAATCTGGAGCTGCCAGAATCTAAGATAGTAGTCGGATGGCCATTTTATTATCCTGATCAGCATAAAAAAGAAACATGCACAATTGAGGAACGATGCCTGTGTCTTAGTCAGAAACATATACAATACTGCCTTCGCCCGTGTCTTAGTCAGAAACATATACAATACTACCTATGTCTGTGTCTTGGTCACAAACATACACACTATGTAATACTCCCTATGTCTGTGTCTTAGTCAGAAACATATACAATACTCCCTATGTCTGTGTCTTAGTCAGATACATATACAATACTCCCTATGTCTGTGTCTTAGTCCGAAACATATACAATGTGTAATACTCCCTATGTCTGTGTCTTAGTCAGAAACATATGCAATACTCCCTATGTCTGTGTCTTGGTCACAAACATACACAATGTGTAATACTCCCTTTGTCTGTGTCTTAGTCAGATACATATACAATACTCCCTATGTCTGTGTCTTAGTCAGAAACATATACAATGTGTAATACTCCCTATGTCTGTGTCTTAGTCAGAAAGATATGCAATACTCCCAATGTCAGTGTCTTGGTCACAAACATACACAATGTGTAATACTCCCTATGTCTGTGTCTTAGTCAGAAACATATACAATGTGTAATACACCCTATGTCTGTGTCTTAGACAGATACATATACAATACTACCTATGTCTGTGTCTTGGTCACAAACTTACACCATGTGTAATACTCCCTATACAACACTTTCTATGTCTGTGTCTTAGTCATGTACAATAATAAAAACAAAATAACGACTAATTATAAAATAGGACACGACGTAGAGGTATTATCTGACGTTAACCTGGCATACTTTCGCTTTACCAAGCTAATAGAAAGAGAGATGGAGTTTAATCTACTAAAATTAGGAGTTCGTTAGTCTCGTTTGATGTTTAGATATCGTCATTTCTCACGTCTAAGTATGTGGTTAAAAAAATACGATTATTTATGTAATGCGACACAAGATTAAACGAGTGAAAGAAAAAGTTATCATTTCAAATGCTGATGAATGGTGCGGATCTATATGGAATGATAAAATTAATATAAGTAACAAGTTGAGAACTTACAGGACTTTCAAATCAAAGTTTACCCCAGCACATTGTGTCAAGCTCGTTCGACAAAAGGGCAAACGAAGAATACTTTGTAGTTTTCGATCTGATTTCCTACCTCTAGCAGTGGAAATTTGCAGATACGCCCGTGTTTCAACTTCAGGAACGCTTATGTAAGCTATGTACAAATGTAAATAATCATATACAGGAGGAATAATACTTCTTCATGGAATGTTATATCTTTAATGATTTCAGATCATCCTCATTTAATTTAGCAAATAACATTAGAAATGATATTACTATTCTAAATAGCACATATTAGTTTGATGATGCCATCTGAATAATTTCAAATTCCACTTGCAAATCCCTTGTATGCTATGTACAGAAGACGTAGCAGTCTAGATGATAAAATAATATACATAAGTTTCATTTTTGTCTTGCAAGCCAGTGTCGACTGAATATCACATACAATTACATTTTCCAATTGTTTCCATGTAGTAACTCTGATAAAAAGGATTATTAAAAAAACTTTCTATTGAAATCATTCTTACATTTTCTTAAATGTTATTTTGTATCCTTACATGTTTGTCTAGTTCATGTATAATACGCAACTAAGTAGTGTGTATTGATCGTACCTCGGAATCGACGCTAATTATTGAAGTGCTCAAAGTGGGGTGGACATATTCGTACAATATGCCCTATTGTGGCCGTCTAGACTGTGACGATAGATTTACTAGACTGAAGCACAGGGGTTTGATACATATGCTCTACTGATATAGAATGTGTGATGTGACCCATATCAGTAAAGTAATATGGTATTGAATATAATTGTAACGGACCCCTGTGACTTAAAAGAACCTGGATTGTATTGTTCGTGTACCCGTATGTACCTATAGCTCTGTCTTGGTGTCTCACCTTTATACCTAGCTGTATTGGGACTTACCTCAAAAACTCATCGATAGAGGGCTTACAAACCACAACATCGCACACATTAGGTACGGTCATACCTATAGTCCGATTTAAGGTATTAATGCAATCGAAATTGTATTTTGTAAAGTTAAAATTTGTGCTCCGAGTCGTTCTACATAGTATGACATAAACTGTTATTGGAACTATGATACCGTGTTGGGTAATATACTGAATCTAAAAATTAATGGTGGAATGCAATGCTATTTGTATGAGTCATATACAAAGTATGACCACTATCTATAATTAAAACGACAACCTAATTCTGTACATTGCGCATGTGCATAACATAACCCCCAGTTCCTTGTTGACAACAAAAACGGCGACAAGATGGCGTAAGTATTTTGTACTATGTCACAAGTTCCGCTTATGAACTATTTAACTCTTATGGTTGTGTGCAATATTTGTAAATCTACATATCTAATTGTGACACGTGTGTCATCGGTGTCAATTTCTCCTTTAATATCGCCAAAGTATAGTTTAATGCCACTCCGTTGGGCAAAAGTGACAAAAACAAATTCAAACTGTTATTGATAACATCACTGATATGCTAATGTATGTGTTGACATGAGCAATACTGTCTGTTATATGTTGTTAAGAAAGCATAATTTATCATAACATGTCCCCTTATCACCATGAACGATTTGTTGATAGTCTCACTCGGAACCGACGCTAATTGTGTTAGTGGGGTGGAGGTATTTGTACAGTAGGCCCTAATGTAGTCGTCTGAAACTAACCTGGAATGTATCGTTCATTTACCTGTATTTGTCGAGAGTTTTGTGCTGATGTAACACCTTTATGGCTAGCGGTATATAAAAGGCTTACAAACAACAACATACACACACGTTTGGTACGGTCATACCTATAGCCAGATTTGAGGTTTCATGGAAATCGAAACGAAAGTGAAATTATATCATTGAAACGAAAGTGAAATTATAATATATATATACGAAGGCTTATTAACTTATGCATTGAACTTTACTTAACTTGTTCAATCTACAAATACTCGAAAAGGTTTGAAAAAGTTTTACAAAGATAAATGAAATATACTAGTGTGATTTTGTAACACGAAGACACAAAACCCAGTCACAACAATTCAGAAATACAAGTCTGTATGCGTATGCAGATTATGTAACTTAAGCCTGAAGCATTTAAAAGACTTTCTATTAATTTTCAGGAATAAACCGTCAACTTCTTCCGTGCTGCCTTTGAAAAGGTTTGTTTTCCTGATTGAAGTTAAACTAGCTATGGATATTAATATTAAGAAATAAATAATATACATACGTATTGTTTAGTTGAATAAACATCATGGTAGGGAATATATTTCAAGTTGAATAATCTCCAAGCCTTCGTCCTGACACTTGCAAAATGTACTGAATATATATATTTCACCATAATATACAAACATATACGGATTTTATCTATTCTATCATGCTACAATATTATTGAACGTGTTTTCGTGTCGAAATCATCAGTGTTTATAAGGTAATATGGCCTTCATCATCCAGTTCTTTTATATTCTTTATGGGTTTTTTAATCATGTACATACATGGACAAACTATGCCCAATATTTATATCATTAATATGACACACACAACTGATATAACGTATTTCAACCACTGCAGTTAATGGGCCTGTTTTCCAGTTTCCACGATGATGTATACGGGAACTATAACAGTCAAACGTCTACACATGTACCGCTATTGAACAAAGCAAACTCTTCCAAGAGTTTCCATTGTTTACATTATTGCTCAGGAGGACTTGTAGAAGAGCATTTGTCGTTCAATGATACAGATTCGACATGCACGCCGTGACTGTTGCCAAGCAATGAATAGTCATTAACTAATGAAAAAGAGTCCTTACCTGAGTGACTTGCTTTATTGGTCAACGATACATGTAAAAAAAAATGTATATGAGTATTGGTATAAAATAGCAGACGTACTTACTGGTAATGAAAACACACGGTATCGGAATGATGCTTCAACACATTTCCATCCGATATTAGGCAAATTCTCATTCAGTTAATCATTCATGCGGGTAGAATTTGTATAAATTATAATAGATGAAACGTCGAAATACGTTTGAGATACTGTTAACAAATGTGTGCATTTTGATATGAAAACTATAATAAGGCCTAATAAATGAGTCTTTATGTTTATTATATAGATGCTTGCACAGCCTCTTCAAAATAACAAGGACTTACAAACAATAAAAACACGCGTTAGGCATACAATGTGAAAGTACATGTTTAATGAACTTATCAAGTTATTTGATCCACAATTAATCAACTTTAATGAAAAACATTGTATTATGCCGTCACAATTATTTTTCAGGAAAGCTACATCAGAAATGGAAAAGCCTGTTAAAAGGTATATTTGCTTGTCTTAGTAATAAAGCAGTAATGCAATATTTTTATGTTCTAAATCAATTAATACACCGAGACATTTCGCTTGGGATACATTGTGTAAATCTTTTAAAATAACTGGGAAATATCATAATCTTTTTTTGCAGCTATAAAATGGAAACATAATGAGTTCAAAACTTTGATATAACTTGAGAAATGAATATTGAAGCTGTTTTTATGAACATTTATTATTTATTTACTTATGTAGTTGATAAAAAATATGGACACATTGTATGGTTGACAATATAGGGATATACTCTATTAAACTAGAGATATAAAGGTCGATGCATTTTAATATGCTTACTAGTGCACTCTCTACCTTGTTTTCAATTTGAATGTACATGGTAGGAGTTGTTGTGGAGTATCCGGAGAAACCCTGGTCTTATTCTCCTTATTTTTCCCTATGGTCTCGTGTACATATTTTATTTGTATATATTGTGACCTACTGTCGTCGACTGTGAGTTTGCAAAAGTATTTTGTTCGTTCACACACCAGTATTCGCATTTCTCTTCTCTTTTTAGAGGGTGGGAGGTTGAATTTGGGTATAACTATTTTGATATCGTCAATTCTTGTGATTTCGATGGACCAAATTTAAAGTGGTACAACAGTGTATTAGAATCACTAAATTATAATGTTTATTAACATCAATTCTGACTTTGTGACATTATATATATTCCCTGAAAGATAAAGTTATGCTGGCAAAAAATGGTATAAACGCGAACAACACTCTTGCAATACAAAAACATAAAAAATGCCTTTTGTAGACCGTTTCCTAAATTTGACTTCATCCGTACTGCAAACTATACCTGTAGATTCAATTAATTAAATTCGCTTTTGGGAAGATGTTATTTCAATGCTGGTAGCAATTATCAATGATATTAATATCCAAGAAAAAAATCGCTAATATTGTAATGAAGTATTTCAACCACAAGAATAACTCCAACATTTATATCGCATTTATATGGCCTGTTATCACGAATCCCTCAAGTGCTTGTACTGAAAATGTGCGTGCAAGGCCATCATCACCGGATTTGTGCATGTGTGATATTTGTTTAATAACTCAACATGAAAAGCTTGTGGATTCAACAACAAAGCGGTGGGTTTTTTTTTCTGATTAGTCAATATTCCATTAAAATTGACAATAGACAGACATGCCTAGCATAAAATCTAGAATCAATACAAAGAGAGGTAACTCCTGCATGTATATGTATATATACAACAATTTATATTTACATTTGTTCTGCGTCCTTCCATTGCATTGCATTGAGAAGGCAAATGTTGTTGTGAGACTATAACAACATTTGCTATTGTAACATATTCAATGTCCATTGTGACGTCAACAATTTCATTGTTGTCAAGAATGAATTTGCAGTTCAAAAGACTGTTTGAAATAACTAAATAAAGCGTAAATACTCTCTCAAAATGTAGAAATAAATAATGAATATTTTAGCAAATATTGGTATGGTCCTCTAACCCACATTTCTATTGCTGACAAACTTATATAAATAAAATCTTGATTCAGTTTGTCATCAATAGCAATGTATGCTATAGGACCATAACAACATTTGATAAACATTCATTGCTAAAATATCAAAAAACATATTTTGATTTGATAAGATGTTACTATGCACATACTTTGCCATATAAAAATATGATATTATGCTGACCATATTTATTTAAATGTGTTTTGTGTTTTAAAAGATCTGCTCTCTAAATAGAACTTCAGAAGTCAGTCCTAAATGCGATTAATCCTGTTTAGACGACATAGCGATTATCATGATTCTAGGAAGATGGGAGACAAACCAAAAGTGAACGTACAAGTTAATGCATATTGGAATAACATTGTAACAATAAAATCATACCAAATGCAATTGCCCATACCATATAGATCACTGAAAGTATCCATGTAATTCGTAGGTACCCTGTTCAGAATATACTAACTAGGTCTTTTAATATTTACATAACTCCTTTTTTCTGAACTTAACTGTATATCTTTCATAATGCGGTCAACCTATGGAACATTATTAGTTGGCAACACGGCGGGTACCATCTTTCTATTTATATCACTCTTTCTCTTTCTACACATTTCTTGTCCATATGTTGCATGAAATGATTTTGTTGGCTTGCTTCATCGAGGCATTCTAAGTTTTAAAAGGTCTTACTAGTGACTATTTTATTCAAAACGGGCTTGCCTCTGCTTGGTGAACTGAACGTTCCCGAGGTTTCTTGGCACGAAATACATACAAAACGTCTACACGAATAAGTTACATGCAGCAGCTTAAATAAAATGTCAATTTGCAAATGGATTGTAAGGATATTATTGGCACGTTCCTCCTCCTTTTTTGTCATTTTCTACGTACATACATGTTCCTAAACAAATAAAGGGGAATACGGAAGTGTTAAAACGTTAAAAGTTGGGCAAAATATTAACCAAGCAAGGATTTACAGTGAGACCATTGATTAAGTACAAGAAGAATATAACCAGAGGTAAACGTATTCTGCTTCATCGATGACATCCGCCATGTAAATGGAGGTAAAATTCTAGTAAATTCACGTCATCACATCGAGTAGCAAAACCAAACTTCAAGGCTTACTCATGAGCTAATAAAAAAATCATCGAGATACGGAATTCGCATCTTTAGAGGTTTAGTAACACTGAGAAGGCCTTAATCGGGAAATGGAAGATATGATGCACTGAAATTATTACCTTTTGTTCTGCTTAAACGTAAAAATAAAGAATAGTGTACTTCAACTGATACAAGTAATAAGTTTTATCATATTTTAAACCATACACTTTTCAGTCAATTTCCATTATTTTCTGTTTCCAAGCGTACGTGTGGATGACAGTGACTCGGATAGTGACCAGCCTAAAGATGAAATCGAAGCAGTTGCAAAGCCAGACATTCAGGTATTATAAACTACAAATTAGTGGTAAGTAGACGGTAGCTTAAAACAGAGGGAGACAGAGACAGAGACATAGGAAGCGACAGACACAGGGAGACAGAGACAGACACAGGGAGACAGTACCCGTGACACTGATATGTGATGAACTCCATGACACAACTATCACGCTGATTGTTTCCTTCTTTTTAAGATTTACACTGCATATAATGTTGACCCTTGTCTTCATTTTGGTCAATAATACTAATAGTAGATAAAATAATAAATAAATATCGAACGATCGAAATAAGGTAATTAACACAATTTGATCGTCATTTTTTATTACAACAAATATCATTGAAAAAAACAAGAGAAAGTAGTCAAATGAGGGGAATTAAATTCAAATCATTAAAGAGTCCTTCCATTGGTGGACAAAAAATATTTGATATGGTTCAAACTTTTTTTTTAATCATGTGATGCAATACTGCTCTTTGAATTGTTTCTTTAATGTTCCCTTCAACTTTCTGGCTCAGATTTTTCCAGGCTTTCTGCCGAACGACGTAACATTGGTGGTCGATGGAAAACGCCTTCATGTAAATAAAGATTTACTCTCATCAGCTTCACCTGTATTTGATGCTTGGCTCAAGAAAGAGTGGCAACAAGACGAATGCAGTAATGATACAAAACAGGAGCTAACATTCCCTGGGAAAACATATGATGAGATGGCCACATTCCTAAAATGTCTTCTGCCCATTTTTGCTGACCAAGTTACAGGTAATTATGGAAAACGATGATGAATATATGACCTAAAACATACTAATTTAATAATAACACGACTTAACAAAATTAACCAGGTATTATCATATGAACAATAAATTAATGTTAATGCATTTTGAACTTTTTAAAACGTATGGAATGAAATTGTGGCTTTAATCATGATTAAAACAAATATAACTCAAATATTTATAAATATATACATATTTTAGCGTTTGAAGTGAAATACTTTGATAATCAGACTCTCTGCAAGATAAATATGAATTTTGAGCACACCAGGAATAACTCTTAGTTATGAATAATGTGTATTGAACAATACGTTAAATGAGGGTTAAACATTGTTGATTTTGGTATTAGTATTCAGCATTTGCAAAAGCCCCAAAATGTTGGAACATTTACTAGTTTTAGCTTGTAAAATAATAGACAGATCCGTAATTGTGCTGGTTTTTTTTATTAAACTTTTTAACGAGCTTACACCAAATCACAACAGTGTCCTTTTAAGGTTTTTGGGACAAAATGGACATCATGTTTACACTGCCATTTGGAGGTTATATGTATTTTTTGATCTTAAGATTCTCTCACGAATAACGTTTGCATCATGAAACACTTTCCATTATGACGATGAAACATTGTTTTCGCCACTCTTTCTGCATGTTAAAATGTTGCAAATATGGCTGAACATGTTTTTTAAAGACAACCTACTAGGTAATCTTAAAGCAGTAATGATGTATGATTTATCAATTGAAATAGAGTATCTATATTTCTTTCGTATGCGAGTAATGTTTGTTTCTTTCCCAACTAAAAAAGTATCAACCTAAAAACTTGACGAGCATAGTGTAATAATTGCCATATATTTAGTATGTAAAGCTCTAAATATGAAAGCACGTATGGCTTTTTTTATACTTAAATTATATGCCTCCCAACTCAAGAAGATATGTTTAAAGAAAAGTAAAGGAAGGCCTATGAAATTGTTTTAAGTTATGGTAAGTTTTACGTAATTTAATGAAAATTAGCCATAAACTTCAAAAGGGAGTGGCCAAAGTTCCTCGTTTATGGCATTAAATTTAAAAGAGTGACAATAGTACATTGATTGCATAGGAACGTTTTGGTTTTCATACCCACTCATTCCATTGACAGGGCATACTCTCTGCAGAAGGAAAAGCATGTTCACTCAGTGTTTAGATGTTATCGTTAAAATAATGATTAAAATTATTTAATGCAGTAAGCGTGCGGTTAAACATTTCTGAACAACATACTCTTGATTGAGAAATATCTAGCTGTTACATTCTAGGATTATTGGAAAATGCTCCAAACCTACTTCAAATTGCATCGACTTCCAAAGTAAAAAAACCTAATCATTGTCGCTAAATCTTGTGTATTCATAGTTGCAACACTGGAAACTGTACTCCCATTAGCAGATGAATATCAGACAGACAACTTGCTCAAAGAATGTGAAGAAGTCATCCGGAAGCACGTGGGCTCTGTCTCCGAGAGGGATATCTATATACCACCGTCACAGGTCGTCACATACCTGCTCTGGATCGAACAATATAACATGCACACGGCTGAAAAATGTGTTGTGAGATTAGCTTCTTTCCTAAAAACTGAAGAGGTTGAGGCAGTTCCAAACTACATAAATGTCAGCAAAAGTCTTCAACTGGATGTATCTAATGCGAGAGCCAAGCTGTTTGAGAGTCTAATGGTGTTCAATGTAACAGAAGCTGCAAGTAAGCCTATATATCTAGTTTAATGTGATGGAGAATATTTCACTAGGCAAAACGCAAAAGGGATAACACGTTCGAAATTATTTATCGTGATAGTTTTACCTATAACATATCTTTGAAGCTGAGCTCACATTAAACATTTACGACAAACATGATTGGGCAACATTTTACACTAAATGCTTTTTATCTGAATCAGCAATAAGCTTCCAGACCATCCCCATTCCAACATCAATATTTATATTACTTTTCCCGTTCCTACATGTACCACACTTGTTTAAAAGTTATAAAACAAAAAGGAAATACATTTTATTTTCTTACGTGCCATAAAGATTTAGTGTACATAATGTCATACATACTCCAATGGGCACTTTTATAAAGACGATATTTCTTGTCACATCCTGGCACGCCTCTTCTGCTATCACAAGTTTATATTTGTTAATACTACTTCATTTATAAATTAAAAGGTCGTTTAGCATACCATGTAATGTAATAGATCTAAATAAATAAGACGAAAGCACGTTTATTGCGTGAACATTACCCCTGACCCTGTCGAACAAATAATTACCAATTCTTGTGACATATCATGAATTCGCTTATGCATGATTATAACGTAAACATGGCTTCAACCCTCAGCGCGGTGAGCTATGTAGCAGTCGGCATAAAGCTTTGTATATTTATACTTGACATATATGTAAGTCTTTTGAAGTTTAGATACTTGCATACCAATAATCTTATAAGTTTATGAACTGTATTACTTTGACGCACAGTATTGTTAGCGACAAATGCACAAATGAATGTACCTTTTTGCGTTAAGAAAGTGTTAGTTATGATGTTAATTGTTAAATCAAGGTATGATGTTGTTTGAATTACCCTTTTGTTTTTGCTATTCCAGGAAAAATGAACGAATTCCAAATCCCTCTCTCCACGCGCTATATGGCTGAATGGAAAAGAAATGTAGCAGAAATTGTGGATATCTATCTAGCTTTATCAACACTACCAAGAGATGCTTTTTCATATAAAGGGAGTGTCCCATCGCTTAAATCTTTGGAACATATTGACTTTTCCTCGATTAGATACAAGGAGCAGTACAAACCATCGAGTATTACTAAAGACACATGTAAATCTTTACGTGATAAATTCAAACTCTCGAACATCTTAAGTAGTTAAGAACAACACTTGTTTGGAATTTGCTTTAAATCGTGAATTTAAACATTTTTATACAGACTGTATACACATAAAATAATCGCATCAGGTACTCAAATCATAAAACATTAACGTCTTATGATGAAGTGACTATATCATGATGCGTTGGTCTGTTTGTTTGATTGTAACTATAAACGAAGTGTTTCTCCCGACTCTTGATATGTAAGAAACACGTGTCTTATACATAGCATTTATATGGGGCACGTCTCTCTCTTACCCTATACAGGTGTATACACACATTTGCCGTTGTAAGATATACTTTGCTTTTACCCTGTACAGGTGTATACACACACTTGCCGTTGTAAAATATACTTTGCTCTTACCCTGGACATGTATATCCACACTTGCCGTTGTAAGATATACTTTGCTCTTACCCTGTACAGGTGTATACACACACTTGCCATTGTAAGATATACTTTGCTCTTACCCTGTACAGGTGTATACACACACTTGCCATTGTAAGATATACTTTGCTCTTACCCTGTACAGGTGTATACACACACTTGCCGTTGTAAGATATACTTTGCTCTTACCCTGTACA